GGGCGGGGCGGCGAGTGCGCCGCCGAGATTGCGGGGCGGCGCGTGCGCAGAGGCGCCTGGGCGGGTCGCGGGTCGTTCTGCGCTTGCGCGCGTCTCGGGCCGAGGGCCGCCGGGTGGGTGAGGGTGTGCACCGGTCCTCGGCTGGGCGAGCGAGAGCGGCGCTGGGAGGCCCCGGCCCCGCGGACCGGAGGCTGGAGAGACAAGGCACTGTTGCGTAGTGTCGGTCTCGGAACCGGTCCTCAGACTCATGACTCAGACTGACCCTCTGGTGGGAAGCGGGCGCTGGTCTCCAGGCTTGCCCCGTAAGACACCGCGTTTGCCGAGGTTGTTTGCTCGGTGTCGCGGGGCGCGCGGAGGTGGGTGGAGGACTTCTCTCACCGCAACAATGCCGGGGCGCGGGAGAGCACGGCGGGCCAGGCGGGAAGCCGCACCCCGGCAGGGGCCCGTGGTGCAGCAGAGAGGGGCTTGGGAGCCTGAAGCCGCGGGACCCTGTGGCCGGACGACTCCTGAGGCTGCTGCGCGGAGGGTCCCGGCACCCTGCGGTGCTCGGAAGCGTGCACAGCTGTGCATAGAAGGAAAGCCGCGAGCTGGCCCTGTGAGACAGCGCATCTCGCAGTGTGTGCACAGGCGGACGGGTAGATCGAGTCAGCGGTTCGGGGAGGCGGGCTGAGACAGGGTCTCACTTTGTAGTCCAGGCTGGCCTGGAACTTGCTCTCCTCCTGTCTCAGCTGAGGTTACAGGTGTGCGCCACGGTGCCAGCTTACAACGGTGTCAGCGTACTAGGTTATAACCGTGGTTTTTAGAGTCGGGCGGAAACAGTCCGGTACTGGAGGTCAGAGCGGCGTTACCTTTGGAGGATGCGAGCTGAAGGGGCCGGGGGAGGACTGGAACCTCTGTAGCTTCATCGGACCCACTGGGTTACGTGGGTCCGCTGTGTGTGTATGACACTGCGGTGTGTAAACACGGGGCGGGGGCGCTGAGCAGACCACCTGGCCCCAAACCGATGCTTCCCGCTAGTTTCAGGACAAAGACCATATTCTTTACCTCCGCCTTTAAGTAGAGTGGCCATACTTCTCAGTAGCTCGGACAGTCTTCCTGAGTCGCCTTCATCCCTGCAGTGTCCCCGCGGGACAGTCTGTTCTCCCGCCTCTGGACCCTGCAGCTTCAGCCTGGCACTCCCGCCTGTGCCTACCCGCGTCCCTCAGTCTGAGACCCGCCTCACCGGCCTCCTCGCTCCTCACCTGTTTCTGAGCCCTCCTGCGGAAGGGCCTCTGCGCTGGTCAGCCTCTGTCGCTTGGGTGCCTCAGCCCGATACTCCTGCCACACTGCACCGCAGTGAGCCTTGCCTAACTTGCTGGAGCAGAGCAGACCCTGTAGGTTCCCTTCTTGGCACGTGAGGCAGTGAGTCTGTTGTCAGGCTCACTCACTAGGCTAGAACTAGAAACATGGCTGTGCCTCAGTTTCCCCAGGTAGAAAACAAGTAAGACCTGCTTGAGCACTTAGCCCGGTATTTGGCTCATGAGAAATGCTCACACACAGATGTCTGGTATCACAAATTAAGATTACTTCAGACACCGGGGAACTGTGGACAGCTGGTCAGTCGAGTACCCTTATGCTCTGACACAGCCCCTAGACCAAGTAAGCCTGGCCGAATGTGTGCGCAGGCACCCACGAGATTCTCCTGTATCCTGAAAATAAATTGCCATTTGAAGTCAGGTGGGTGGCACACCCATGTAATCCCAGCACGGAAGGAGGCTGAAGCAGGAAGATTGCAAGTTTGAGTCCCAGCTCAGCAACTTAGTGAGGACCTTTTTTCCAGTGGATTTCTAATTCTTCCACATACCAACCCTAGACTAGGGTGGGCTATTCCCCAGCACCTTAAAAAAGTATGTAATGTATGGTTCCTTCAGCCACAAACAAGGACTCAGCTCTGGAATTAGAATGTCCTGATCCATGGAGCTAACCCTCTGAATTTAATCTGACTTTAAATCTTTCAGCTTGAGTCCCTTTGGGCCAGAGATAAGCAAAGGGACAAGGCCAAGGCTGCCTTCTGTTTCTTCCCACCCCCCCACCACCCCAGCTAGCTTGGCTATGGGCTGCCACCTGGAAGAAGGGGGAGGTGTTGGGGAGGACTGCAGTGCCACCCCTGGTCAAGCTAACTTTTCAGAGATATTTTTGGGCTCCTTGGCAGTTGCCTGCTGCCTCTGTCCTTAGTCCCCGTTATCCCAAACACTTGTGTCACTTTTCTGTGTGTTTAACTGGTGGCTGTCAGGATAATCAGGCAGGACCTAAAGCGACCTCTTGGTCTCTTGTTCTCTGAGAAGTCCCATAGAAACCACTGTCCCTGAAGGTGAAGGACAGTACTCCAAATCCTCTCCCACTCAGCTTTCTTTTTTTCTTTTTCTTTTTTTTCTTTTTTTTTTTTTTTGAGAGAGGGTCTTATTGTATAGTTCAAGCTAGTGTCAAACTCACTATGTAGCCCAGGTGGGCCTTGGGTGTCAAACTCACTATTTAGCCTTGGCTGGCCTTGAATTCGCTGCAATCCTCCTGCCTCATCCTCCTGAGTGCTGGGATTACAGGCATGCACCACCACAAGCTCAGCTCAGCTTGCATTCTAAAGTGTGGAGCAGGTTTCCAGCATTATCACGTGTGCCGATTGTGAGAATTCTCCATCACTGTTTCTTTTAGGCTCCTCAACGTTTCAGTTTCATGTGCTGGTACGTTCACAACAGTAACACCCAGCAGAGTGTGTCAGTCCTTCGGTGGACAGTCCTGTCTGTCCTCTGCCCCCAGCCCCTGGCCCAGGGGATCTCCGCTCACCCAGCCCCTCTGATCAGGACTCTGGACGGATCCCTTGGGGATGGGCACGGGGCCCAGAACAGCTGTTCAGGGTTCCCCTTCCTGGGTCAGGTATAACTCAAGCTGCACCACTCAGTTGGATTTTTTTTGTTTGTTTTTTGTTTTTTTTTCCGGTACCGGGAATCGAACTCATGACCTCGCACTTGCCAGGCAGATGCTGTGCCACTGAGCTAAATCCCCAGCCCCAAGCTGCACCACTCAGAAAAGAACTGCTTGAGAGTGTTTTGTTACTGAAATGGGGAGAGGGAATCTGTCTTCGTTTAGACCAGGGGTAGGTGAACTTCGAGAGCAAAGAGTAAATAGCTCAGGTTTTGTGGGCCCTGGAGGCGGTGCTGCTGTGCCACAAAAGCAGCATAGAGATCTGTTCACAAATGAGCGTGGCCTTGCACCAGTGAAGCTTCGCTTACAAAGACAAGTGTTTGCCCCACCACTGTCTGCTGACTCCTGCACCACAGCAAGCGCTGTCATGGTGCGGCTTTAGGTCCACAAACCGGTGTCAGAGAGGAGGGGTGGAGAGGAGTCTGGTTCCATGAAACAACTTTTCTCTTTTTATTTTTTTAAAGAGCAGAATGTATTTATTGAGGGAAGGAAAGCTTCTGTCCAAAAGGGACAGAAGGGAGCCCAACTGGGTTGCCCAGGGAACCCATCTTTGCCAGGGATTTTTATAGAGCAAAACCATGAGGTGAGGCGGGTCCAAGGTGGGAAACATGGGAACTCGCCAGGTGGGCATGACGTGGACAAAGTTATGGTCAGCCAATAATATTACACGTATAATTGTTCACGTAAAATTGATTATATAGGGATCAAATCAGGCAGCCAGTCATGTAGCAAGCGGGCATGAATACAGAACAGGGGCTTTTCCTGTAGGGGGCTGGGTTAGTGACTCTTCCTGGCTTTTTTGAGGTGATTGGTACATATTAGAATATCAATCCCTGATGTGCATCCCTAGGGAGGTATGTGGGTGTATTTGTTTAATCCTTTGGCGTGAGGTCTGGCCCACAGCAGAAGTGCCTTTCTGTCTATCTTCTGCACTGGCTCCTTTGAGGGCCTGGCCCTGTCTGACTGCCTATAATATTTTTATCTACTCAGTTTCCTACAGCATTCCCTGCTCTGAAGAAGTAACTCAAACTGCCGTGAGGGAATAATGGGCGATGACCACTCTGGCTTCTTCAGGCTGAAAGGGGTCATAGTAGTTGATTGGCAGTTAGAGATACTCTCCAGAGTTTGTATCTAAAGGCCCTCGATAGACATCAAGCATTTTTATCTTGGGTAGGTGTGTAGCTTTAAGTCTGTGCGTTCCATTTTGGCTCTAGGGAGTAGGTAGGATACACACACACACAAAAAAAAAAAATGTTAAGTGGCTCTTTTTCAACGTGTAAGGGTCAAACATCTTCCAGTGCTTAATGGTGCACTCTGAAGGAGTGAGAGACTTGGACTGTGAATATGCCATATCTCCCTCCAGTAATCTCTGTCGAAGACCTCCAAATGGTATAGGGGAAAGAAACTCCCAACCTGAAAGATATCTGGGATGATTTCGTGTTCTCTAAAATTGAAGAATGAGGGGCTGGGGATTTAGCTCAGCGG